CCAGCTGGCACTCTCTGAAAGCAGGAAAGAAGGGCCTTCTAGTCCTTGCTTAGGGTTGATCAAGCACACATTCCATGACTGTTTCGTAAACTCTGCAATTAGCTTTCCTTCCAAACATGATCTCCAAAAACCCTGAGAAACAAAAATAAATCCACTACCTGATTCTCTTTGGATCTTTGAAATAAGCTAAACTGTTTTTCGCCAATAGGCAATGAGCTATCTTGCCTTCTTTTTGAAAAGACTGAAGAATACATGATAACCACCTTTTCCAGAATTTACAGTTTTTAGGGGAAAAATATGATGCAGTATAAAGCTCCAAAAGAATTACCAAGATTATGATGACAGGAAATTCTTGCCTCCTTAAGAATTTGACCCTGGAAATTTTTCTTTCAAATTCAATTCACTGGACAAAGGGAAACCAGAAGATGAGAGGCTATTGTATGTACAAACAGTTTGGACCCAGATAAAATACAGGCCAATGATAAATAGGGTTGGGGGTTGGTCTCTATATCTGAGAGTCACAGCTGCCTGACTCCCAAACCAAAAAAACCTTCTAAGAGAGAAGATTGAGAATCATCAAACAGCTGCCTGACATGAAATTGAGGAAGACTTTTTTTAGAAAAATTAAGTGTTGAATACTCTCCTGACACTACTCAAAGTGTTTTTCATGTATTATCTCATTTAAAACTCTCAACTATCCCAACAGATGGTTACTTTTATTTCTCCTTTTACAGATGAGAAATCTGGGGAATATAGAGCTTAAGTAAGATGACACAGCTAGTAAATTATGGATCTAACTGTGCTCTTAACCACCACACACACACACACACACACACACACACACACACGCACGCATACACACACACAAAGTGGCCCTAAGTCCAGCTGAGTCCAACTCATGGTGACCCCATGTGTGTCAGAGGAGAACTGTGCACCACAGGATTTTCAATGGCTAATTTTTCAGAAGTACTTCAGGTCTTTCTCCCAAGATGCCTCTGTGTGGACTTGAACTTCCAATCTTCTGGTTAGCGGCTGAGCTCATTAACCATTTGCACCACCCTGCGACTCTGTTAGCCACCACACTCAAAGTCTTTTACTGTTAAATCTGGATCCACCTCAGAAAAATCCAGAAAGGCTCTCTATGGGACTTTCTACCTAAAGAAGCCTGTTTGGTTTGGAGGATGGGAGGAGGAGGGAACAGGAACAGACAGGCAGACGGAGAGATGAAGCCAGAAAGAGAAAGGTTCTCAGCTTGGGAATGAGTTAAGAAAGAGAATAAAAGCTGTAGTGTTGACTCTGTCTAACCCCTATGGCTCTTTGGGAAGCAATCATCTACTCCTACTCTTAATGATTCAGGTATACATTCATCCTTGGGAAAAATGCTGAAAACACCAGCATGACAGGAATTTTTCTGCATTGTCATTTCAATGTATACTAGTAAAAGTTTTAAAAAGAGCTGCGTGTAGATCAGGGGCTTGAATGAGTGCAGGGAGCAAGCACACTTAAATGGATGAAGTTCAAATAAAACTTCTTTTACTGAATAAACAAAAGTAGTACAAAAATGATATCAGCATAAACCTTGCCTAAATCTAATCATTCCGGACTGAAATTTCTGTTTGCCATATTTGTGCCCACTGACCATGGGGCATTTACCAGGTGCTCTTCTGTGAACAAAATAGATTTCTTTACTCTTCTGTTCTCTATGCAACTCATCATCACATTGAATAAGCCACATTTATAAAAGTCTGTGGTAAGTCCTGTGGTGGACACATCCTCTCCTCTCTAGACTTTAAAATCAAGTCCAGGAGACACAGAAGTAGATGACAAAAAGTGCTCTGAAAGAGAGAGAGACAGAAAGAACAAGCCACTAGAAAGGAAATGAAAGGGAAATCTGCAACTTTAACTACAAATCCAAACTTGCCTACTTACTTAACTATTAAATAGAGTGCTACAAATATTCTAAGGATACAGCACAGTATTCATTTTTTAAGAGGTTATTTAAAAGTGTTATTAAATGATACAATTAATTCCCATAAAAGTATAGATTAAAACAATGTAATTGGTTCCAAACAAAACTCTTCTTCCAAGCTAACTTCACCAGCTAAGCATTATAGTGTTTAAAGAGAAATAGTGAAAAAATTTTTGAAGACTGTAGTTCTGGTTAAATCATTTGTTAACTGTGTGACCTTAGGAAAATATTTTAACATCTTTAAGACTCTATCCTCACCTAATTATCTAATGAAATAATGTGAGTAAAAGAGCTTTTAAAAAGCTGTGGGAATATATTATTTTTACCTAACAACTAATTTATAATGTTCTGATCATCACTATAAAAATCAACTTGAAAATCTACAGTTATCCATGAATACTTCTCAGTACAATTTGGGAATATTTTTCCCAGAATTATATGAACCCTTTACATTTTTAGTTCACATGTATTTTGTAGACAGAACCCTAAAGGTAGCCTTTAAAAGCCTCTGCACAATTAGTAATTTAAAATAACTCACATACACACACACACACACACACACACACAAAACAAAACCTCACAGATAGTACATCTAACTCTTAAAGTATAAACTTTTTTTTTTTGTTTTTTTTACCTTTTGGTGATGGTAGAATTTTCCAAAAATCAAAACTAAATCAAATAATCATTTTTAAAGTTACAAGAAAAAAATTCAATATGTCTAACTACAAACTAAAAACATGAAAGAGACCATCTGGGCATAAAACTGATAAATGCCAAGATTAACAGTATTTCTAAATTCAACATCTTTAAAAATAAATCCCTTTATAATTTAATTGTTTCAATCTAGAGAAAAAGTGCTAATAAAAGCTCTGATAAAAGAAACTGGGCTTGGACGATTGGTTTAAAAAGTACCCACATAATTGTAGGGCTTAATTTTTTATCTACAATTTAACTCAAAGTCATCAGAATGACTTTTATATCAAAGAGCTTTGGTGAGTGACAAGAGCAAGACTTGCTTTGTACTGTTTAAAAGTCATAATCCCATGAAATAACTTTAGCCTGCCAAGATGAGAAAGAATAACAGATGCTGTTTTTGCATTATCTGCATTATTTCAACCAGCCATCCTTAGACATTTGGGTCAAATTTCTAGAAATTTGTTACTTGCATTTGACAGAGGAATCACGTATCCTAACCTCTTGGTTTGACCTTTCTAATTGGCATCCATTTGTAATACTTCCCTTTCGGTGACAATTATTCTTAAGCTGGTCCAAGGATAGTCTATTTTTTTTTTGCACATACTCAAGCATAAATTAGAATATAAAAAAAGCAAAGATGATATTTACCCAAAACCAAAAAACCAGTAAGAAAGTTTCTTTACATGCATTGCGTATTTTTATGATGTTTAGATTTGAGGATTTTTTTAATCTTTTAAAAAAAGGAAAAGAATTTTTTCAGGTACATTTAATCATTGTTTTCTATCTTCTATTTAGTTTTTACTTTAAAAAAATCAAATATTAACTTTAATGACATGTACTACTTTTCTACAGCAATGCAGAACCTTACCCCTTAAAATAAATAAATGAAAACAATCAAAGAACAATTATTTTCTGAGTACTACATTATAGCTTTCTAGAGTATAATAACCAGCTCAGAAAATCAAATAGGTAAATCTTTTTATAATTCTTCAGTGGGAGATTAAAAAGTTTCACAATGATTTCTCGTTTATTTTAATAAACAGATTTTAAGGGATTATTATATTTAGATTATATTTAATCATATAAAGATAGGTAATATTTATGAAGCACTTAAGAGTGTACCAAATACTGTTTTAAGTGCTTTACATTGATTATCTCATTTAGGCCTCAAATAACTTGTAGAAATAATAATGTCTCCTCCAAGAAGTATTAATAAATCACCATCAGATGATAAGAAACTTTAAAATTGTAAAACTCTTATACATTAAGACAAATGAAATTCTCACTGAACTTTTTAAGGTTTGTAAAGTAGAAATCACTATTAGTAAATTTCAATCGATTTCACTTTTAATTAAAATATCCTATATACTTTGAAAATTGCAAAAGTAATATTTCTCCAATTCACTTAATAAGAATTAATAGGAACAGAGATTAAAGGGCTAACTTTAAAGAATAATTGCTTTTTAAAATGATTTATGGTGACAAAACTTAGAACACTACAGAAAAAGCAAAAATCTCTCTGAGAGCAGTGCTTAATACTAATATAAATAAAGGTATTCAGTGAATAAGAAAACTAAGATAAACATATTTTATTATCTTTAAGATGTTTTAATGCTTCCAGATAATGGTATTTTCCTAACAAAAACATAAAAATCAATAATTTGTGAATTAATTTCAAAATGAACTAAGTGGTCTTAAGAACATTTTTAAGAATACAAAATTAATCTTCATAGTTTAAAGAAGTGATTATTTTTAATGCAACAAAAAAATAAGAATTCTTCAAATAGATCAAATAAAATTTCTATATGGAAGGCTGGAGTCTTCTCCTTATTAGGTTCTTCCCTCCATACTTACTAATATGAAAATGTGTTATATTATTTAGATCCCATTTCTGACATCATGAATAGCTTGTAAGAATTAAATGAGAACTTTATTAAACACACACATATAATAAAAACACCATAAACAAAAAATGCTATGTAATACATTATTTCTCAATATTTTCTGAATAGTTGGCCCACCTTTAAGAAATAATGACGATCACTTTCAAAATGCTACTTCCAAATAGACTGATCCTTTGAAATTTTTGTAGATTCTAAAATATCTTTGCAAGCAAATAAATGCTTAAATGATTACTTAGAAAAACACATACAATTATATTGGTTAAATATACCTATAATGTTTAAATTTCTTTCTTTCTTTTTTTTTTTTTTTTTTTTTAGTTCTCTGGGAAAGTTGTCTATCTTACATACCAGTTTGGAAAATAACTTCATTCTGTTTTAAAAACGTAAAATCTCCATAACCTTGTTAACAAATATAAAGTGGTTCTACTTACACTTGCATGAAGTTTTCCCTTTTTTGACATCGCTAAAAATTTGTTGCTGAAAACTCCTCGTATTCCTACAATCCCCTGAGACACAGCAAATATTTCCAAAATACCTAGGATGACAGAAATCCCAAAATAAAACACAGACTATATATTACTGCAAAGATTTAAATTTCTACGTAGATTCTTTCCATTCTTTATCATTATGATTTAAAAAAAACCTAGTATGTAACTCCTTGTTTTTCATTACATTCACGTTAAAAAAATAGGCTAGCATTTCAGTGTACATTTAAAATGATTAATTTATACTTTCGAAGATTTGATTCTGCTTCATCAGCAGTTTTTTTTTTCTTACAAATGATAAACCACTTTTAGTAAATAATGTTTGACAATGTAATCTTTTCAAGATCTAAAGCTATTGAAAATATAATTTTGGGGCAAGTTTAAAAAAAAAATCTCATCTACTGTTTTTCTATCAGATATAATACACTACTTTTCATATTAAAGCCTAAAAATTCTGTACCCAAAATTAGAATAAACAATCAGAAGCCCTGAAAATAGTACATAGTTACAAAAATAAATCCCATTTCTCAAATCATCACTATTATAGAAATACAAATAAATATATACCGTACTTAATCAATTAGTGAGTAGTTAATTTGAAGACTACATAAAAAGACACTGAAAGCATTATAAATAATTTGGGATTATTGGCTCGATGAAATGTTTAATGGATTATGGTTTGGGACATCTTGCATTTTAAATGACTTTCCTGAAAAAAAAATTTAATGAGGTATTTTATTATATTATCATTTACATTTTATATGTCACAGTTAGCATTGCCAAGTTAATGTTCCTGTGTCTCCTACATTCATTTTGAAATTCCACATCCACTGGGTGAAGAGAATCACGCACTACAGTTCAAAGAATATTTTAAAAAGATGAAATTAAAAATCTACGTTTAATTGAAATCCCTATTATAAATGCATATATAATGCTATATGAACATGAGAAAAGCATAATGTTTTTTGTTAACTGCTGACATCAAATTGGAAAAAAAGAACAAACCAATACAGTTTATCAGAGCTAAAAAGGGATCTGTCATAGAAAGAAATGAAGAAAGACTGGAAGACAAGCAGGCAGGCAAGAGGAAGGGAGGAAAAAAAGGAAGGAAGGAAGAAGGGAAGGAAGAAAGGATATCTCAACATGTCAATCAATGATACGTTGAGCATATATACTATTTAGGGTATCACAATAAGACTCTTTGCTGAATAGAAAAATTCACCAGATTTTCTTGAGATATCAATCTTCCCCTCAGTATTTGAAGTACATATAAAATTATTCAATTTATCGAAAAAAGGAGTATATTGTATATACACATATATGACATATAAATATCTATGAATATCTTTATTGAACATTTATATTGCACAATGTGAGCTAACACCTATAATTGTAACAATACTTACGATTATTTATTCAACTAATTTTTGTGAAAATGCTTAGGAAGTTCATGGGGAAAAGGGGATAGCTAAATAACTTTTTTTTTCTTATAAATGTTCTTAGCCTAGAGTAAATAAAACACAATTTCAAGGAAACTACAGCTGCCAATTTATTAATGGGTATTTCTTTAAAAAGAAAAAAAAACTAAACTAAAAACTATTCTTTTAAAAGGAACTACTTTTGTTTTCCACCACTTGTCTGTCAGTTTGCCCTACTGTGGTGGCTTGCATGTTGTTGTAATGCTGCAAGCTGTGCATGCAACCTGTATTCCAAATACCAGCAGGGTCACCCATGGTGGACAAGTTTCAGCAGAGCTTCCAGACTGGGAAGAAGGACTTGGCGATCTACTTCTGAAAAAAAATGGCCAGTGAAAACCTTTGGCAGGGGAACATTGTCTGATACAGTGCCAGAAGATGAGTCCCTCAGGTTGGAAGGCACTCAAAATTCAACTAGGGAAGAGCTGCCTACTGAAGGTAGAGTCAATCTTAATAACAAGGATGGAGTAAAGCTTTCAGTACCTTCATCTGCTGATGTAGCACAACTCAAAATGAGAAGAAGCAGCTGCAAATATCCATTAACAATAGGAACGTGGAATGTACAAAGTATGACTCAAGAAAAACTGGAGGTAGTCAAAAATAAAATGGAACACTTGAAGATAGATGTCCTAGGCATTACCCGTTGCCTTCAAGTCAATTCCAACTCATAGTGACCCTATAGGACAGAGTGGAACTTCCCCATAGGGTTTCCAAGGATGGCCTGGTGGATTCAAACTGTTGACCTTTTGGTTAGCAGCCGTAGCTCTTAACTATTAAGCGACCAAGGTTTCCTAGGCGTTAGTCAGCTGAAATGAACGGGTATTGGCCATTTCAAATAGGAAAATCATATGGTCTACTGTGCCAGGAATGACAAAGTGAAGAGAAACAGTGTCACAATCATTGCCAAACAGAACATTTCAAGATCTATCCTGAAATACAACGCTGTCAGTGATGGGATAACATCTATATGCCTACAAGCAGGACCAGTTAATACACTATTATTCAAATTTACGCACCAACCACTAACGCCAAAGATGAAGAAATTGAAGAATTTTACCAACTTCTGCAGTCTGAAATTGACTAAACATGCAATCAAAATGCATTGACAATTACTAGTTATAGGAACAAAAAAGTTGAAAACAAAGAAGAAGGATCAGTAGATGGAAAATACGGCCTTGGTTATACAAACAACGCCAAAGATTGCATGATAGAATTCTGCAAGACCAACAACTTATTCATTGGAAATACCTTTTTTCAACAACATAAAAGCGAGTATTCACATGGACCTCAATGGATGGAATACACAGGAATTTATGACTACATCTATGGAAAGAGACGATGGAGAAGCTCAATACTATCAGTCAGAACAAGGCCAGGGGCTGACAGCAGAACAGATCATCAATTGCTCATATGCAAGCTCATGCTGAAGCTGAAGAATACTAAAACAAGTCCACAGGAGCCAAAGTACAACCCTAAGTATATCCCACCTGAATTTAGAGACCATCTCAACAACAGATTTGACACACTGAAACTAATGACCAAAGACCAGACAAATTGTGGGATGACATCGAGGATATGGTACATGAAGAAAGCAAAAGGTCATTAAAAAGACAGAAAAGCAAAAAAAAGATCAAAGGACTTCAGAAGAGATGCTGAAACTTGCTTGTGAAGGTAGACTAGCTAAAGAGAAAGGAAGAAATGATGAAGTAAAAGAACCGAAACTATTAAAAAATAATAATGAAAAAAATTTAAAAGAGCTGAACAGAAGATTGCAAAGACTGCTCCAGAAGACAAAGTATTATAATGAAATGTGCAAAGACCTGGAGTTAAACAACCAAAAGGGAAGAACACGCTCAGCATTTCTCAAGCTGAAAGAACTGAAGAAAAAATTTAAGCCTCAAGTTGCAATATTGAAGGATTCTATGAGTAAAAAAAATGGAATTACGCAGGAAGCATCAAAAGAAGATGGAAGGAATACACAGAGTTACTGTACCAAAAAGGAATTGGTGGATGCTCAATCATTTCAGGAGGCAGTATATGGTCGAGAACCAGTGGTACTCAAGGAAAAACTCCCAGATGCACTGAAAACATTGGCGAAAAACAAGGCACCAGGAATTGAGGGAATATCAATTGAGATGTTTCAACAAACGGATGCAATGCTGGAAGCATCCTCTAGTCTATGCCAAGAAATTTGAAGACAACTACCTATCCAACCAATTGGTAGAGATCCATATTCGTGCCCAGTTGAAAGAAACGTGATCCAAGGGAATGTGGAAATTATCAAATAATACCACGCATAAGTAAATTATGTTAAAAAATAATTCAGTACCTTGACAGGGAACTACCAGAAATTCAAGCCGGATTCAAGAGATGACATGGAATGAGGAATATCGTTGCTGATGTCAGATGGAACATGGCTGAAGGCAGAGAATATCAGAAAAAGTTTACTTGTGTTTTATTGACTATGCAAAAGCATTTGACTTAGTGGATCATAACAATTATGCATAACATTATGAGGAATGGGAATTCCAGAACACTTAATTGTGCTCATGAGGAACTTGTACATAGACCAAGAGGCAGTCATTTGAACATAACAAGGGGATACTTCATGATTTAAAATCAGGAAAGGTGTGTCTCAGGGTTGTATCAATCTGTGTGCTGGGCAAATAATCCAAGAAATTGGACAATATGAAGAAGAACCCAGCATCAGGATTGGAAGAAGACTCATTAATGACCTGCAATAAGCAGATGACACAGTCTTGCTTGCCATAAGTAAAGAGGACTTGAAGCACTTACTGATGAAGATCAAAGACTACAGTCTTCAGTATGGATTACATTTCAACATAAAGAAAACAAAAAATTTTCACAACTGGACAAATAAGCAACATCATGATAAAATGGAGAAAAAATTGAAGTTGTCAAAGATTTCCTTTTACTTGTATCCACAATCAACACCTATGGAAGCCGCAGTCAAGAAATCAATTGACGTAGAGCATTGGGCAAATCTGCTGCAAAAGACCTCTTTAAACTGTTGAAAGGCAAAGATGTCACCTTGAGGGCTAAGGTGCACCTGACTCAAGCCATGGTATTTTCTATCACCTCATATGCGTGTGAAAGCTGGACAATGAATAAGGAAACCCAAAGAAGAATTGATGTCTTTGAATTATGGTGTTGGGGAAGAATACTGAATACACCATGGACTGTCAGAAGAACAAACAGATCTGTCTTAGGAGAAGTGCCGCCAGAATGCTCCTTAGAAGTGAGGATGGTGAGACTTCATCTCACGTCCTTTGGACACTGTCATGGTTTGAATTATGTCCCCCAGAAAATGTGTGTATCAGTTTGGCTAGGCCATGATTCCTGGTACTGTGTGATTTTCCTGTATGTTGTAAACCTGCCTCTATGATGTTAATGAGGGAGGATGGGTGACAGTTGTGTTAGTAAGGCAGGACCTGATCGACAGGACTGGAT